CTTATTCCCAAGGATCCAAATTGAGATCATTTGCTAGCACCCGTCGCCTACTGTTTATTAGTTCCTTCTGTCGTGCCAGCTGGTGGGTAGGTGGTTGGCACCTGTGGCTGGTGCTGGAAAACCAAAAGGTTGGATTTACAAGAGCGAGAGAAAAATAATGTTTTATAGTCCCATTTAGGGTGGGGGTTGTTTACTGATCCTTGAGTTTCTAAGCTCTGTTTTCGTGAAAGAGAAGGAATCAAACATATTCTGCTTCTTTTCAATTATGCTCCCTGTGTGTCAAAATCCAATAGAGTTATAAATCAATGGTTTGATGGAATGGAATGAGTAACCATCTTTTTCGGAGAATGACGACTGGCCCAGCTGTGCATGATTGGAAGTATTTTGAAGCCTGTGCAAATGGGAAGTCACAAATGCAAGGATTATGATTGTGATAGTTAGTGCCCGTTTGCACTGTATAGCCAGGGACAGCACCACTCACTGGCTCAGCTGATGCAGTGCAAACTCACCTCTCCCATCAGCTGTTCAAAGAAACATTATCCTGCTAATTCTCTCCCCTCCAGCATTGTCTGGGGATCAAACCCGGGACCTACCTCAGCAACTATTGACTTGGCATTCATTTAACATTTTCTAGCCTCTAGTGGCGCATATTAAGACTGTTTAGTTCAAGAGTCAGAAGGAAATTGTGAATATTTTCCAAGGAGGAACAAGCAACCACTTCCACTGCAATACAATTAGTTTGTAGTTTGCAGAAACTGCTACTGCAGTTGTGGAAACTTCATTTAGCATGTGCTTGCACACGGTGTGACAAGAAAGCGGTAATAAAATTGATGGGTGGATATAAAAATGTGTAATAAGTGGCAATAAATGTGACAATGGCAGATCTGAAATGAATGAATATGTAGTGGAAATACCTAGGACTCTTGAAAATAGTGGCATTATGTGGAATGTGGTAATAAAAAGAGATGGATTCCACTAAGCTGTAATTTTTGATAGTTTTTAAATTACAACATCAACTGGAAATATGCTGTAAAAATTGTGTTATCAAGTATGTCCTGGAGAGAGACAAAACTTACAGTAACCGAAAAATGGCTCAATCATAATTTACATGTATACTTACACCACAGCTCCTCATTTACCTACCACAGCATTACTTAAATTTAATGAGCTCACCATTTTTGCTTTGCCTTGCAGACCCGTTATTCTGCACAATTCACACAAAAACAGAAATAATGAAGAAATATTCTCTTGCCAACAACTACATTCACATTGCAATTTTATAAAAAAAGACGGTTGATTTGTTTAATTCTCATTTTTCCTCTCGATTTCAACTTCTTCACATTGAACCTCTTTGTGAACTTCACGGATTACAGCTAACCAGATCATACCAATGGAAGCTGTTTGCTAACAGTTTTTTTCCCTCACTCCTGGAATGAAAAGTTTACTTAGAATTAGTTAGATCGCAATGTCACTGTAAAGCGAGCGGTAGAGCCACACAAGAAACAGACATTGATTGCAGCTAAACACTTTCGAAATACACTTCAAGAGTTAATACAAGAACATAGGTTCAGAATGAGAAAAGGACACTGGTACACCAAGCCTGTTCGGACCAACAGACTGTGTCCAATTTTCATTATAGTGAATTTGATAATCACAGGCACAATAATATAAAACTCTGGAATGTCTCCCCAAGTTCTTAAAGTTAACTGCAAATATTGCAAGATATAAATTTTATATTTTATATTATTTTATCATTCAACTCTGGCTACTTGACTTCACAGACGACATTCTATGATTAGGTTTGGAGCCGGTGCTCAACAGAGTTTTAGATATTTTAAGTGCATCTACGCTGATCCTCATTGAATTCTGCTTGCATTCACGCTCTCGTTATGCTGTCAAAGGTTAAATAGCCTCCTTACATTAGCCGCACCGTTAAAATTCTGAATTATATCCTAGACCCTATCAAGGCTCAAATTATAGAAGTGTGAACTGCTTAGTTTTTACTAAATAAACCCAAATATGTAACCAGATGGTGCATTCACTGCAAGCATTGAAGAACAGCATTACTGCAGATCACCAGAGGCAACCAATAGAAGGCCTGAAATTAACTTTCCTTCCTCAGTATGGAACGCACTGTACAGTATACAGTTTATAGGCATTTACTTTACTGAAAAAAACGTGACCAGTGTTTAACGGCATGCTTCTCCACGGGAACATTTTTTTACAGTTTATATTATAATTAAGTCATCATTGCTTCCTGCGAGGAAAACGAATCCCTTTGTATCCGATTATCTGGATTCCAGAATAACATGTGCTCTTATTGCATATATACTTATTACCCATCATATCTGCAGTTCTTTATTAAACTGGTTCAGTATTACCACCACAGAGTCTCAACCCTTCTTATAACATGTTTCTAATAATTTATTTTACTGTGCATCAGTGTCATATATTTCACATAAAGTGATGTTAAGCTGTCATCAAGAATATACATTTGAAGATTTAATCACACTGAGTATTGTTCAGACCATCCTTAAATCAATACCTCCAGCATGGGAATCTCCATACAACAGCATCAATTGGTAAGCACCAATCATTTTCCAAAGATGAAAAAATATATATTTTTAAAATAGCAAAACTTCAGAAAAGATTGTATGAACATTCATCTTTTATTTTCCAACCATCTATATGTACAAATCTTAAAAGTTTTACATCAACACCCCAAAAATGGAAAGAAAATATTTTACCTGAATAAATCTCAAATGTTCACAGAATCAGAGGTACTCAATTTATTTTTTTTAAAATAATTAAAGTCATGATTCTCTTCACCAAGATTAAACATGCAGCTGTACAAGATCAGTGTTTTGGTGTTCGACAGGTGTTTCTTAAAAAATTCTGCTCCTCAAACAATATTGTTGATTAGTTGAAAAGAATATCTGGTAGAAATTAAATACTACCGCCACCTTAACCTTTAGCCGAGAATCGTGACTGTGACGAAGGTCTTAGACATTTACACATTTTCAGTTGGAGTTTTCTGAAAAAAATAGTTTTAGACTTGACCAGTGCTCAACAGAGTACAATTAGCTCTTAAGAAATCAGTTTTCATGAAATATAATTAGCATTTTAAATATATATATAAATTTTAAGCAAAAAATTCAAAGGTTGAACACCAATGAAGCAAGCTGATCTCATTCCACGTTTCAACTATTTTGGTAAAAGGGAGCCTGAAGTTTTGGGCAATAGTATCTATATTACTGACACCATATAATGAACTCTGACAACAAAATGTTTCTTGTTATTGGGTCAACCTGGTTTGTACCCAGGACTGCTTATGGCTGCCTGCTTCAGAGAACTAATCAGTTCCCAGCCTGACGAACAAGTCTTGTACCATGTAAAAACAAGGTGTCCCCTTGAAGAAAGCGGGAATAACATGGAACAGTTGCAGTACAATCAACCTATCAACCTATTACTGTATAAATATTTTAGAAGCATAAAATCAGTAATTGTTCTCCCAAATCTCCAAGACATTTCCAACATCTCCAAAATAAAGCAACCATGCTAATTATTCAGAATATGAATTAATTTCTATGAAGATACACATCTCGTGGAATCAATAGCAACAACAAATGGAATATTCAGGCTGTTAATCACTCAGGATGAACCTTTTTTGTTCCAGTATTGGTGCAAATGGACAAAGACGTTTACTAATGGCAAACAGATATGTTTTTATGTTCTGCAATCACATCCATAGTTTATAAATTAAGAGAACATGCCTTATTATGAGGTTGCGGTTTGCAGTATAATGTATATATCGTGATTCTTGCGCAAAATAATCGGAAAGGTAAGTTTTGTGGTCAAGCGATGCAGTTAATTGCTTATATAAGAATGTAAAGAACACCACGAACAACCACGTCCTTCCTGAACTATGAAAGACCTCATTGTGCTACTTTCATATGCAAATTCATGCCTGCAGCTGGGTTCCACTTCACATGAAACAGGGACAAGCACTAGTTCTAATAATGATCAATTATTTTGTTGGCTACCTGCCAAGTGGTTGCTAAGCAGCCACATTCTCTTCTGACTGTGTCTGTTAAGATTTCCTCAGTTCTCTGCTTGTCTTCACCAGAACTTCCAAAACCTGCACTGCCTAATCGCTTCCAAGTCTTTGAAAAAGCACAGCCATGAGTTTCCTTATTTTGTTGTAATCAGAAAAACAAGAGATGAGGGTTCAAATTACATAAGTCATTTGATTTAGTGAGGGTGGTTGAAGAACCAGGCCCCCAATCAGTGTACTCCTCCATCCGTTTTCTAATAAAACACTGTATTGCCTTTCGTGCAATAATAATTATTTCGTGCACTTAATAAAAAGCCTTTCCCCATCCAGAAAAATAATTTTTCGAAAACTGCTTTATTTTTGTGTTGGACACTGTGTTCATCACATGGCTGCTGTAATTTCAACTAATTGCAGCACAATGTTCTCTGTTCCCACACACTCCTCCCAATATTAATGAACAGGCACTTCCATTTATCAGATCAAAACCAACCTTGCATCCTGTATTTTACTGAAATGTTGGCATATCCTTTGTTACCTCGGCACTCCCTCAATCTCATGGTTTTCTTTACTTCAAACATTTCTTTCTTCCCAAAAAGCACATATTATACCGTGTGTTACACTGTTCCTCACTCTCCTTCCCCAGTCCCTCAAATTATTAAACTAGGTGTAAGAGTGCACAGCTGCATACTGCCACTTAACTGAAGCCATGTCTCTATGACACCACACCATTCAGTTTCATTGAAATAGCACTTATATGTAATATATATTTTTTAAAAACTATACAACCCTTGAATTTGATATTGTGTCTTATCACATCCTTTAGATGTCTTGAAGCACTTTACTGTAAAGCGTAGTGACTGTGTAACTTGGAGGTGAACATGGCAGTCAATTTTCCCACATCCATGAAGTAATTGATCAATTTTATCTGGGGATTGATCGTTGGTCAGGATACCAGGAGAAACTAGCTTCTCTTTTTGAATAGTACAGTGGGATATTCGACATGATGTACTTTACTGTGTATGATATTCTGTAAAGCTTTATCTGCACCAAAGCTTCAGGATTTTCAAATGTCCTCAGTCAATTAAAGTAATGGTTAAATGAAGTGAAGAGAAGTCACAGTTCCTAATATTTCACAGAAGTAGTTGTTTGGTATTCTTCCATTGAAAGCTGGCAAGATGATCTTTTCAAACACAATACTGTGCCTCATTGTTGCAGTGCAGGTATAAATCTGGACAGCCCCATCATTTCAAATTCTTGATGCAACTCATCCACTGATACAAAGTATTGCACTGCAAAGCTTGTAAGCCTAATAAGTAAATTGTTAAAAAGGTTAATACAAAAATGCACATTATACAGAATTCACCAAATAATCTAGCCAAAGGCAGGTTAAAGTACAAAGTGACCCATTTTATACCTTTGCTGTTCTGGTTGAAGTTTTTCTTCACGGAGAACACTTATCATCCTTTCTTTGCATTTCTTTCCACTGGAATCCACATCCACCTTACAAGTTTTCTGAAGAACTAAATAGTTCTTTCGTAATGGCATTTTAATAACAAAAAAGCAAAATTTATAAAGATTTAGAATACATTATATTTTAAGTAAATAAAAGTTCCTGTATTGATTTTCTTAACTCCTTGTTTTTACTCTAGCAAAAGCACTATATGAAATTGAAAAGAGCCACTGAAACAGCGTGAAATCGTCTGTACATTTAAAGCTCTGTGCTCCCTCATCTTTAGTAGCACTACAATCGCTGAACTCAAAACATTTTACACAAGAGTACATTGCAGCAAAAAAGGAAAATTAAATCCATGAAGAGTATTAATGAAATTTGTTTCAAAAAATGCAGATACCTTAATATCATCTCTCTCTCCTTGCAGAAGAATGAATATGAGCTTGTCCATGAAGATCAGCCTTCCAGTAAGTCCTAAATCTGAAGTCCACTTTTCTATACTTTTGATGTACTTTACTTTTGCCCTCATATGATCCAACTGCAGCAGTGATGTCCACACTCCACAAGAATTGTTACTTTCAGCAGCCTTGTCGACTGTCGATTGATCCATATAATTCTGAAAGTTGTGTTGGAGCCACATCATTAATTCATAGATCATAGGCTGAGAAAGAAGAGTCTCGCCATACCTCATCAAGCCTCCCTTCATATCTGAACACTGTTTTCGGGTAAGATGATCGGAGCAGATGGAGATATGAGGGAGACATAATGGATATTCAGGAGATAACTGAAAGGTGATCTTTAACAGAAATTTCTTTCCAAGATGGTCACAGATGGTCTGGATTAGGAATGCAATCCCTTCGGAATCTGTAGTATATTGGAAGAAATTCAACGTTGTAAAGTTATAATTACTTTCTCAATCTTTTTCACATCACCAAGCTCATAAGTTCACTGCGTGAACCTAATGGATTCATGGATTGGATAATGGATTCATGGATTGGATAAATTTTTGTAACAGTCCACTGTAACAAACATGCAGGATAGCTAGTGCTTGCCCAACAGTTTTTCCACACAATTCTATAATTGCATACTTGATGACATTATATCTGTGAAGAATGATTAATGTACTTTTAGGGGGTTAAAAGGTGCCACTTTTAAACCAATTCTGAAAGTGAAGTCAACTGTAGTACATCCTTAACCCAGTCGATCACTCCCCCCACTTCTTTAAAAACAAAAGTGAGCAACATATTGATTGAAGAGTCGCACGGTGCATTACTGGAGGCTGCAAAATACGTCGTATTTTTTTAAAGCGTTGTTTTAAGTGGTAGATTGATGGTAGAATTGGATCTCTCCCCTGTCATTTATTTGGAGTAAGACACATTTGTTCTTTTGGTTTCAGAATGTAACCTAATATTACTCCAGCACGTCAGTCTCACAAATAAGCAAACTGGGTTTTTACAGCCCGTCCACATTTGCTGACATAAATGTAATATTTCCCTGAAAATGGCTCGATCTCAGACCCGACCACTGCCTCTCGTTGGGAGCGACAAGACGTTCCTTGTCGGGTGTTTTTTTTTTAAAAAAAAAAACCCAAAATGTCCTGTTTTGACAGATGTCGCTCCAATCGGAAAGAGGGCAGAGGGAAAGGGAGCCGGTGTCGAGCGCAATTTGGAGCGCGCGCGCCTCGCAAGCGAGAGGACCTGGGTTCGATTCCCGGGCTGGGCTGGGCGAAACGTCCCGACTCCGCACGCCTACGTTTACCCGGCAAGTGAGCAGGAACCCACCCGGCTGTTTGGGGGGGGGGGTTAATCGCGTTTCCCGGGGATAATAACCCCCTCCCCCCCCCCTTTCCATTTAAAAATGGAAAAAAGGTGGAGTCCTGTAGCTCAGTGGTTAGAGCACTCGCTTTGCAAGCGCGAGACCTGAGTTCAATTCCAGGCAGAGGGCGAAACCTTGGGCAAGTTTCCTTACTCCACACAGAGCCTAATAATAATCCCTCCAAAACCAAAAACAATAATAAATTGGTCATTTTCAATCTACGACTGTTTGTGGGACATTGCTGCGCGCAATTGGCTGCCGCGTTCGCCCACAAACATACAGTCAATTCACTTTACAGTGTGTTCTGTGAAGCGCTTTGGGACGTCCTCCCGACGTGAAAAGCGCTATATCAAATGCGAGGATTATTATTATTATAATTATTATAATAAAAAAAAACTGGGTCACTTCAATCCAGGACTGCTCGCGGGCAGGCGGGCGGGCGGGCGGAGGGGGGGGACGGAGGCCACCCCGGCGGGCGATGGGCCGCCGCCGCGTTCCCGCCCGCACAACACACGCGCTCACTACGCGCCATCACGCAGCGCGGTCCGCGGAAGCGCTTTTCGAGACGTCTGGAAGACGTGACGCGGCGCGACGTCGAAAGGCAAAGATTACTATTATGATGATGATGATGATGATGATCATTCAAATTATTATTAGAGGGCGTGTGTTTTGCAGTCGCTGACACTCCCTGACACGTCCCCGTTACTAACACCTCTCTCTCTCTCTCTCTCCGACCCTGAGGCCTAGGCCTCGGCCTCTCACTCCCCACCCGCCGCCCCCCGGGGGTTTAACAGCCCTCCCCGCCCCCCACACCCCCCCCCAATCCCGGCCGCCCCCCTTCACCTGACCGCGAGAGGAGCTGGAACTCTCCGCTGCCGCAGTAAATGGCTCTGAGGGCGGCCACTTCCTCCTCCTCCTCCTCCTCCAGCAGCGCCGCCGCCGTTGCCATGGCCACCAGACGCCGCTCGTGACGCGGGACTTGGGGTCCGTCACACATACCGATCCCCCCCCCCCCCCTCTCTCTCTCACACACACACCACGCACTGGTCCGTCACACATCCGGCTCCGCCGCTGCCGTCGCCGCCAGGGAGAGTTCCGGGGTCCTCCTCAGTCAGTCAGTCAGTCAGAGTCAGTCAACAGTCAAGTTGCTGACTTCAGGTCCTGGTTGGGGGGGGACAGAGAGAGAGAGAGAGAGAGAGAGGATGGAGGGGTTGGGGATGAAGAGAGAGGAATTGGACACAGATCCCCCAGCAATGTTTACAAACAAACAGGACAAAAACAACCATCCATAACCCTACCCTAAGCCTTGTTGTGTTGACGGGCAACTCGACGTTGCGGGCTCACGTTTTAACGATAGGGATTTCATTTTGAAATGCTGCCCTCTTGTTTTGGCATCATGGCCGAATGCTATTTGATTGAACCCCTGTGGAGTCCTGTAGCTCAGTGGTTGGAGCGCTCGCCTCCCAAGCGAGAGACCTGGGTTCGCTTCCCGGCAGGGAGAAACCTTGGGCAAGTTCCCTCGCTCCACACGCCGGATAATAATCCCTCAAGAAAAAAAACCAGTAAGAATTTGGTCACTCAATCCATGACGGTTTGCGGGACGCTGCTGTGCGCAATTGGCTGCCGCGTTTTGCCTACAAAATATACAGTCAATTCACTTCACAGCATATTCTGTGAAGCGCTTTGAGACGGCGAGAAGACATGAAAAGTGCTATACCAATTGCAAGGATTATTATTATTGTTATTATCTGCACCCCGCTGCAGGGCATCTCAAGATTTCAGATCAAGAAGCACAAGGCTCAATGAACGAACGACTCTGCCGAACATCCTTTCAACACTGGTGATCCCCAAACGTCAGGTATGCCCATCGATCAAGGGGAGAAGCAAGTCAAAGTATTTCTTTCACCAGAATAAGATCTAAAAATTAGACGCAAGGAAGACTGCTCTGAAAAGATTCTTTGCAGTACTATTATTTAAATTAAAATAATAATATGATAGTACAGATGCAAATGAAACAATTGCACACACCCAGTCACTACTATATCGTCTACAACCTGCAAAAATACCAATTTCACATAGAAAAAACGGTTGGACTGCCACCCAGAGGAGGCTTGTTGTTTATTCATCTGAGACTAAAGACTTGGCCTTCTCAAATATTACTGGGATGGTCCCCTATACGAGTTTAAAAAGATTTAAGTTTCCAAGTTTTCAGCGGTCAACAATGGAGGAGGTTGCAAGACCCTATCCATTCTCACTAGCCGAGCAAGATCGACAGATCGGACATCAACTGGGGTCGATTGTTTCATAGATCTTACTCAACAGTCGGCTCTTTCTGCTCTGGTGTTTGAAGAGAACCTAAAAAAAACTCAAGGCAGGCTGAAGACACGTCAGGAGGTAACCCAGATTAAATATAAGGCTACGTTCAAAAGAAAAAGTCCTGGTATTGCTTAAAGTAAGTATTTTACTTACAAAACTAGGATGCTGTTGCCTTCCACCATAATATCAATCAATATATTTTTTAAATTACAAGTAATTTTTTTTTTAAAAAATGCTGAAAAAAATAAAACTGTCCTTTGGTCAGAAAGGAATCTCACGAGGTGGTTGTTTGGGTAAAAATGGTTACTATCTTTTCAGTTTTCATGGCTGTAAATACTTATGACAATTTCATTTTTTTTAAAAAAAGAAACAATTTTATTGCAGCTGTGCAAGTTTGTTTATGCCACAAAATATTTTGGTTTACAATATTGAGAGAAAGAGTATTATGTACATAATTCAGTTGCCATGTTCTCACAATCAAAACTTGCTTAACAGTGTTAGAACACGAGAAACATCAGAAATGTTAAAATTCCAGACATTTCTATAATGAAATCTTATTCCTATAGAGAAATTACACCAAGCTCTCAAACATCTCAACATAAGTTATCTACAACACTACAGCAGCAGTGTCATTAAAATACATTTAGAACGTAACAAATAAAGTCAAGCCTGGCGCACAACACAATAAATGTTCCAATTAGAAAAAAAAATTGAATTAAAACTGAATTAGAGGTGAGGATGAGAAAGTATGGTACCATGACTGTTTAACTTGGGCAAGATTTTAGAACTGAGTAGGATGAAGACTGACAAAACTGAAAGACTGACTTGGATTTTTTCACCTGACAAACTGGAGGCAAAAAGGTAACATTCACAAAATAGTTCCCTGGACCACAATGTTTTCCTTAAGTATCTTCACAATAAAATGGAAGATGCCAAATTCCAATACCTACACATCCAATTTATTATAGCGAGGATTATTAATGTCAAATGTAATCTTCCAGCATAAATTATACATATCACATGGTCATATGGACTGTACATCTTTTTTTACTGTAAATCATTTTAATTATTGTCAGCATTATACTTTGAGCACATGATATCTGGACATTCAAATGTAGTTCATATAGCTTTTCTGGTCGCTATACAGTTCAGCTTTAAAAAGTAACCCTTTAACAAGATATTCACAGGATATTATGTATAATAAATACTATTGCTCAAAATACAATGATTCTTATGAAGTCCAACGCCACCACGCCACTTTCATTCTGTCCCAAACTGCAGTGAGAGAATCGAAAGCCGGACGTACATCTAGAATTGTGAACTTGTATGTCGTCTTGTCAACTTCACCTCCATCATAATAGTCAATCACATATCGTACCTCTTTTCCACAACGGTTCACAATCCAGTCATGTCGATCAAATGGCAGCTCATAACTGCGAGAATATTTTAAAATTATATTAGAACAGATGAACCAAGATTTAATTTTAAAAAAAGCATGTTACTGTCAGGTTTAACTAAAGCTATGGTCTCGTGCTGCAGTCCAAGCATCAGAAAGCAATTTTTTTTCAAAAAGAATATTCCAAAATCCTACTTATGATGAAACAAAAATGTATTTCAAACTAACGTCGTTTCAAATCTACATTTATACTTAAAAGATTTCTAAAGTTTTTAAAATTTCTGGATGTCAAAACAGGTTTTTTAAAAAAAATCTTTTAGAAAATATATCCAATAATATTTAGAAAATTATTCAGACTCCCTGTGGGCCGAGTGGTTAAAGGCACAAGATTGGTTACTTGTTGCACAATCATAACGTTCAAATAGAATATTTTAAAATACGTTTGTACCTTCAAACAAATACTTAAGCTTATGATCTTCTGTCATAATATTTTAAAAATTAAATGTTAACCAAAGCAAAACAAAATGTCTTACATTATGTGGAGAAAATTACATCAGATAGCTTAATTTCATTCCATACCCCATCCAAGAACGAATCCGGGCTCTTGGTGAATATTCTTTAGCCTTTCCTCCAAAACGAATAAGTGCAGGTCCACAAGGGCATTCTCTGAAATACAACCAACGTTTGGCATTTAAATAAACTTAACATTTTTTTCTTAACATGTACTTAATCTCATTATTTTGTTGAATCGCATTGGAACATGGAAATACTATGTTCAGATTACATATTAAAATTTTAATTGTAGTGGCCTTTTGCTTTCAGGTCATTTCTTAGCCTGGGAAAAGTGCATAAAATTCGAGAAAAGGCCAGAAAACAAGTCACCAGCCAGAAGGCAACTTTGCCAGCATTCAGGATCATAAATCCGACAAATGTGTTAGCGTACGATAATTCAGCATCAAAAACTGGACTAACTTGGCATGGAGAGCTTCCCACTTGAGAATTTCTTGCCATGCTTGTTCATTGTTGCTATTGTGGATGTTAATAATGTTGGTCATATCTTTAGATGAAATGTCTTCATTACGCCAGCGCCATCTGCAAACAAGTAGAGAAAGTTTAAATTGTATTTCATGGAAACTAATGTTCTCACTTGCTTTGACAGGTGATTCAGTTTCTTGAGTGAAACATGTAAGCAATCATACAAAGTGAATTTAATGCCAAGTTCCAGAATACCAACTGTAGCCTTTTTAATACTTCACATATCAATGCAATATAGTATTGAACAAATGGTGAATTGCAGGCACTCTGTCTGTCACCCTCAAGTGCTGGATGAGCTTCAGATGAATACTGCATTCATCTTTGAGGCATTAACCTATGTGAAAAGTGCTATATAAGTGCATGTTTGTTTAGGTAAGAACAATATGGAAACTGGTGTATTAGGCAACCAAGTTACATGGTCCCTCTACAAAGAAATATCCATTTAAATGCATTTCTTATCCATTCACTCACCCTTTCCGAAGCATTGCATTCCAAAACATTTGCTCAGATGGATATACCCAATATTTCTCTGAATTAGCCATAGGAATATGAGACTCCTCTCTGTTAACAGAAAGTGGAAATGGCTGGTCTGGTGCTGGCTGTTGATTAGGTGGCGGCATCTATAAAACAAAGTTTGTAAAAATATCTAATTTTGTGTGTGCAATGTGCAAGGTGTGCAATTTTATTTTTAAAACAGAATATGAGCACATCCACAATTGTTCTGCGTTCAGTGTAATCTCAAACTTTTAATGAAATAATTTTTAAAAATGACCAGCATTGAATACCTTACATAAGTGCTTTGTCACTGAAGAAATCATAGATGTCTTTCATGAAGGACAGTGGGAAGTTCCAATAATTTCCAGTTTACTATACTCACTAAATTAATATGTGGAAAATAAGATTACCATTAACAGCTCGATACATAAGTAAATTCTGTTCTGCTTACCATATTACTGGGGTCAATATCATCTTCAGTTTTTGAGTTTGTTCCTCCTTTCATGGGACACTGCACATATTCATATGCCCTTTCTTGATGTTTGGGCAAGGAAGAAGACGCTGATGTAGGTGATGCAGCCGCCTGATGCATTGGACAGTCTGACGGAGGAGAAGCTGCTAAAAGGATAAACATTCCACGTAAAATAAATTCTCAACAAACATTAGACGATTAAAATAATTACTTTAAAATATATCCTCACAAAGAATGCAATCGAGCAAAATATATCAGTGGTTTGGCCACCAATATCAATACTTCTGAAGTACAATTGTGTTTTCTTCTCCTTCCAAAAGGCATCTTGAACTTCTCAACTTTGGTGAAATAATTTCTTCTTCTCCTCTCCACCCCAGTTAAAAACAAAGTTACAATGCAGTAATTCTTTCAAGTAAGCGAATATTATTCAACGTTCAACAATTCAATATTTTGCAATAGATGTTTTAAAATGATTAGATATACCTTCCTTCTTGGCTTGATGCATGGGGCATTCCAACGGTGGGGATGCTGCCTCTGGTGCAGCAGTGGCAGAAGCTGCCTGTACGCTCTCAGGTAATTTTGATGTTGATGCTCCCATGCCCGATGACTTAAGGCTGCTTATCTAGTATAAAATACTGTGAATGAAACCATTTAACATTTATCAAAAACAAAGCATTCTTATTTCACGTAAAGGTCACAAGAAAATGATAGGAGTCCAAACAAGCTGAATGCATTGCAAATTGTGGGGAGAAAGTAAAGGAAGTGTAGAAGAAGGATATGATGAAACTAGAGGATCCCAGGACGACAGAATTTCAGCCATACCTGGTCGATAACACTTAAAGTTTCAACTATGGTGTCCTGATCAAGGGGAAGGCAGAAAGAGGAGACAATTGCTGTTCAATGTCTGTCAGAGGAGATCCTTGTGCCTCAAATTGACAAGGCAAACCGCAATGTCAATGAGCAAAACCCTCGATGACAATGTCAATGGGCAAAACCCTCTATGACAATGTCAATGAGCAAAACCCTCTATGACAATGTCAATGAGCAAAACCCTCTATGACAATGTCTATGGGCAAATCCGTCTATGACAATGTCAATGAGCAAAACCCTCTATGACAACGTCAATAGGCAAACGAGAGCACAGGTCATAACTTTACAAGACGGGTTCTCCAGCGGGAGACCAGAACCAGAGATCATAAAATTATACAGTAGGGGAGGCCATTCGGCTCATCGTGCCATGCCCGGCTCTTTGAAAGAGCTGTCCAAATCAATCCCACTCCCCCACCGCCCCCGCTCTCTACCCATCGCCTTGCAAATTTGCCTTCCCCAAATATCCACCCACTTCTACCTATCTATGTACTTTGAAAGAGCTGTATCCATCCATCCTTCCATCCATCCCTCCATACAGCTCTTTCAAAGCACGTGTGTGCGTACGTACGCACATAGTTCTGACGAAGGGTCGTGGACCCGAAACGTTGACTCGCTTTCCTCTCTCCACAGATGCTGCCTGACCTGCTGAGTGTTCCCGGCTCTCTCTGGTTTTGTTTCAGATTTCCAGCATCTGCAGTATTTTGTACATACAGAGAGTCTGGCACCAGCCAACAACAACAACAACAACAACTGCCCCCTCACTCCCCCTCCACCCACCCACCCACCATGTCATTCAGGAAGCTACAGGAAGCTCCAGCAGCGGCGCTGGGGAGTGGGGGAGCCGGGGGTGGGGGGAGTGGGGGAGCCGGGGGTGGGGGGAGTGGGGGAGCCGGGGGTGGGGGGAGTGGGGGAGCCGGGGGTGGGGGGAGTGGGGGAGCCGGGGGTGGGGGGGAGTGGGGGAGCCGGGGGTGGGGGGGGGTGTCGCCGGGGAGAGAGACATACCCGTGAGAGTCACTTTCACCCGCGCCTGACGCCTTTCATCCGACACCAGGCCCCGAGCCCCGGCCTCGCGCAGCACAAGGAGTTCCCTCACCGCCGGGTCTCCCCCTCATACCGCACCCGCCTCACACTGCGCCGCTCGCTCGCTCGGGACGGCAGGACAGCCCCGGGGCGCCGCGCCAACCGCCACTTACCCGCTTCGCGCCGCCGCCCCCCCACTCCTCCTCGAACACGCCAAGGTCGGGTCACGACCTCTCCCACAAGCCACCGCTCGCCCGACGCGCTGACTTCATAGACCGCTTTCTGGCTTGCGTCACTTCCGGAACTGGCGGCCGGAAGCGGGGTCCCGGACGGTGCGAGTCCGTCGGTCTCCCGTTCCACCTCATTTCACCAAAACGTCGGCCTCGTCGGCCGTTTCCAAAGCACTCACCAAGACAGGGCCCCTCACCGGCCCCGCCGGGACCCTCACCGGCCCCGCCGGGACCCTCACCGGCCCCGCCGGGACCCTCACCGGCCCCCGCCGGGCCCCTCACCGGCCCCCTCACCGGCCCCCGCCGGGACCCTCACCGGCCCCTCACCGGCCCCGCCGGGACCCTCACCGGCCCCGCCGGGACCTTCGTGTCCTGTTTTTTTTAAAAGAATTATATGATAATAGCCCTCGCATTGGCTCACGTCTTCGAGGCGTCTCGAAGCGCTTCACCGGACACGCTGTAAAGTGAATGGACTGTATGTTTCGTGGGCGGGAACATTTATTCAATAAAAATAGCAGCAGAAAGTCTTTTTTTATATATATATATGTGTGTGTATCCTGGCACTTGCTGCTGCTTTTCATTATATATATATGTAAAAATACACAATGGCGTATCCGCAACGTGTCACTGTTCAGGATCATTGGGACCACTGCTGGTAAGAAGGCGGCGCGATTCCTCTCGGTGATCCGTCGTGCACCTCTCCTGCTCCCGTTGCGCTCCAAACCTTCTCGTCTTCCCGCTCCCACGTTCCTAGCAAACGGACGCCAAAGGAACACCCGACTCTACGCGGACGCAGCAGCTGCAGCGCAAGGCTGCTCGCGTGGTGCTGAACTCTGAGCGCTTGTCACGTCTCCTCCGATCTCCAGTACACCCATCGAGTCAAAGGAGTTGTGTACGATTGCGTACTACGCTTCTGATACGTGCACGAGACCTAACAATATCAATCCGCTATGATAACTGATACGTGGAACAGTTATGGTAATGTCAAGAAGCACAAAACACGTCGAGCTCGGTGTGCATGCTTTATTGCCATTGAGTGGTTGTGAGGAAATTACTATGTTAAATCATTTTATTCCAAAAGCTTTTTCATGGCTGTGAACAGTGGACGATGTATTTAATTAGAAACAAAATACAGCAAATGTATTATCTGACACAGCATCAAACGCTTTCAAAGAAAACTTAGGGAGGCATCAATTTCAGTAGAATTGAGTTTAAAAAGCCACACATCTTGCAAATAAAGACAAACATTTGATTCATCAGAGTTGAACTGGTTTCATAATGGTAAACGTTATCAGGCTAGTAAATTATGTGGAGCATGCAGTTTTCTACAGTAGGTTGGGAAAAGTTTTATAAAATTGTGTTCTCACAAATAATTGAATAATACAAGTTTATGCATGGGTTTAAAATACCACATATTAATGTAGAAAAATAAGTTACTATTATTTCCTACTGCATTACTTTCGGAACCTGTAAAATATTATGAAAGCTAATAACTGAAAATGCATGACCGTACATACACAGCAGGTAGATTTCACATTAACTTTCCTTAGGACCCTCACTTAAATACACTTATGCCATTTGTTTTTAACTCGAATAATAATTTTTAAAAAGCTTAACAGGAATGGCTTTATGCAAAACCTTAACATTCTTTTTTAAACATTACATATTAAACAGAAAAAGTGTAAAGCTACATTTTACCGTTAATGGGTGGGTGACAACATATTAACTCCAAAATAAATGTTTCACAACCAAACATGTAAAAAAATAAGTAACAAGTAAACATTCAAGGTAATGCACAATTACACCTACAACACTCCATACTGTAACAACAATATAACATTTTAATCCTTATGCATTACCATTTTTGTTACTTTTCAAGGCTCATGTTTCAAAAATGCAAAGACAAATGAAAATTACATTTATGAACAAAATTATATATTGCTTACGTATCAGACTTCTGATTATACATAAAGTAACATAGAGTGAATATAGTATGAAGAGCAGGCAAACATTTACTCAACACATGGGGATCGAAATCGAGTATGGAACTTCAAAATATTCCAAACTGCTGGAGTTTTAAAAGATTTTTCTTAAAAAAAAACAATTAATGTAGCTAATGTGCAAGGCCATTCTCCTGGTCATTTCTCCTGGCTTAATCTATTCCAATTCCGTTCTTCACTAAATATCCACCATTAAAAAAAACACAAAACAGTGGAGCCAACAATTATGGCTCTGCATAAAACTGAAAGCTGTTCAAATCCTTTGCATCATCTTTTCAAATTCCAAAATCTCCTTTTGCTTCATAACGTTTTACAGTTACCAGAAAAATACATATATATATACACACATACACACGAAGGAACCGATTTAAATAATCTACTGTAAAATAGAATATCAACATAGTATTCAATATTTCTCTACAGGACTGGCAGATAATTAAAGCAACTTGTATGCTTAATATAGAAAAGTTTTCCGCTAGAATATACTTCAATCTTTAGTATCACAAACAGATTAGTTAATTATAGTTTTCAAACTCAGTTAACTGTCTATTAACCACCTAAGCAGCTGCAACAGAAACAAATAAAATAAGAATTTAAACAGTTGAATAAATAGCGTGTTTTGTTTGACTTATTTCTCAAATATCCATTTTGCCAACTAAAGTATGAACAGTATAACGGTGGGAAGTTCAAAGTTTACACAATATTGTATACTGTACAATTGGCAGCAAATCGCTAACATAATCTCTTCAATTATCCACCAAGTGTGCAGCAGAAATACAACATAAATTTCTGGGATCTAATCTCTGGATAAAATACCTAAAAAGGATAGTCTCATCAGAAAACTCTGCCTTGTATAAAACATTTAACGGCTTTGAAATCCTAAAGTTACTAACCACTGCTTTGAAATTGCTCTGCAAGTTGTGAAAGAGCTTTGCTTAGAACATTGACAGTAGGCAGACTGACAATCAACCTAAAGCATTCAGGCATTAGATGAACACCAATCAAGATTAACACATTAAAAAATGTCAACAAATTAACAAATAAAAAAGGTCCAAATGAACAACTCCATAAACATTGCCAACTTGCTTTGTCAGGGGATGATTTGGCTCAGCCATTAAATAAGAATATTGGGGGGTAATAATCATTCAACTACTTTTTGTATAATTCTGTTCACTAAACGTTTTTACTGTATTTTTAAAAGTATTATATATAACTTTACAGAATATTTTCACCCAATAATATTTCCTGATATTTTTAAACTAACCTGCTCCTCAAAACTAATTAAACAAGCAAGTCCATCTAGTAGGGTTTACCTATGTGATATCAATAAAACAGCTACTAAATTAACAGAACTTTATTTTTAAGTCATCTAAACTACTGTTGTAGAGATAGTTCAACCAATCACGAAATCCCAAGTTCCTGGGAATGGAACAATCATCACAAAAAAACATTCAGAAGAAACTCATTTCACTCAGATAACTTCAAAGAAAACAAATAAACAAAGGACATTTCACTATTTGCAACCCAACTTCAATCCTAGCAATGTTTTGGAGGATCTAAACACTAAACAAAGTCACCACACAGCTAGTAAAAGTCAGCACACCCATGTTCCACGTTACTTCTATATTGACAGTATCATAGGAACAAGTAGTCTTAAGCAATTACCCAATTTATTTCTAAATGGATTAAGAGCTTAAAAAGCCTTATTACTTAGCCTTACATGATACCTAACTCATAGGTTTATCTGATTTAATCATGTATCTCTTCTGTAAGTACAATTTCAATCTGAATGTTCCTCAAAAACAAATTGAAGCTTGGATTACTGTACAAGGTTTAATCATAGAAATCATATATAGCATTGATTACTTACTGGCTGCCAGTGAACCTAGCGGATCTAATCTGTAATTATGCCTTTATACTTGTTTTATTCCACAAAACACAATTTCCTATTATTACCCGACAATCTAGGAGACTACTGCTGCTAGCTCAAAGACAGTTGAAGTCAGGAAAGCTTTGGAGGCAATATTTCCTCTTTCCATCAAGTACAGCAACTTTGTCCATGTGCGTTATATAATAGGGAAAATCCCAATAGAAGTGGTCATTGTCAAAGTAGCAACCATCTGGAATATCTCTCCAGTGTTCAGTTAATTACATTGGTGTTACTCACAATTAAAATTGCTTAATTTTATTAATTCTGAACATATTATTGAATGGAGTTATTAAAATTCAGCTACACATTGTTAATAGGGGTTCCATCTATACATATAGATGTGGCCCAATTGATCCTCATTGCCTCTCGCAACAGGATCACCTGCAATGAAGAATTTCTTCAGTGCACTTAGAGTGATATGTTTTTCGGCTCTCCTTGCAAGAATCACAGTGACTTTTAGGTAATAGGTCTTGATGTAGGTGACATTTAGAAAGCACAGCAATTGGCCCGGTTGGTGCTGAAAGCACTTCTGGAGTTTACACAACATTTTCTAATAAAATAATTGGTCCAAACCTAAAACTGCTCATTAAGAATGGTGGACGATATACTCTTTTGGGTACAACCACGAGCCTATTTTAAAAAATTTAAATCAAGCTGTATTCAGTTTGTTTAATCTTTTTCATTTCCTAATCTAACCTTCGAGTGCATGGTAAACATGTAACCCTAAAAATACTGTGGCCACCTGCATTCGCATAACTAACTGCCTCCTGGAATGATACAATACAGTGTTGCTCTACACTAACCAAATAGAAAACTCTAAAATCATGCATAAGTGAGTGAGGAGGGGGGGGGGGGGAACGTTATCATATAAAAAAAATCACTTCAAAGCAATTGGAAGTTAGTTTACTTTAGTTTTCCATTTTCTTGGCAGGCCAGCTTCCTGGCTAGCAAAACCTTATGGCACCCCCTTGCAATCTTATACATCCACATAACATTCATGATATCTAAACAAATGCTGGAGGCAATCCAAACAAACTGGGCTCTCTGTCCAAGCTTGGAGAAGGCCTCTGTTCCAAATGTGGAGATCATTTTGCCATAATATAAAGGCATGACGGCGATTCTCACCGTGAAGAACACCACTACCATCAGAATCCCATTAGTTAGGTTTACCCTGGAAGTTTTGGGATAACCTAGCACTTCAAAAAACCATCTGAAAGACATAAGGCAGCAATAAGAAACATTTCTGAAATGAAGACAGGAATCATGAAGATTACGCATGCATCATAAAACTATTCAACAGAATGGAGAATGGAAATGGTCCATGTAGGTTCAATTTTTATTCCCACCCCACTCCATTGCAGTCGACTCCTTTCTCCTTCTCAGGATATTAGAACCTAGAATTTGACCTACAAAATTGTGTAGAGAAAATACTGTAAGCAGACTGCTCATAAATTGTGCCCTAGTTGGTTTGCAGCAACACAGTAATACTAAATCATAATTGGAAACTCAGATTTTTCCTCTAAATTACTGCATGTTCCAGAAAGTGATGAAAAATTCTGCATTTGCACGTCTACATATAACAATATAACGTCTACATATAACAATATAACAGTATAATATATGATACATATATCATTTCTGACACCACGACAATTCTCAGCAAATGTTTCACTGGCCAAGACATTAGGGTTTCAAAGTTTAATCTCATGTTCCATCCAGATATTATGATTAATACAAGTGCGAAAGTCCAACTGTAAGAGCTCTGTATTTCTGACATAACAGTCCTGCCAGGATCATGTGAGAGGCTATTAGCTCAGGCAGATCTCCTGACCTTTTAAGAGGATGAACTTCAGCATGTTACTGGGGCCACTTAGTGCTGGCCCTTCTTGAGGATTTTATTCTTGCGTCAGAGGTTGTAGCCTTCATTCTTTCGTGCCACTTTATATCAGACGTAAGTGGAAGCAAGGTTTGAGATTAAAGAGAGACTTTATATACTGGAGTTGGGCAAGCAACATCGTGATCAGTCTTTGATACCCAATGACACAGTCTTTATCAGTCCTGAAGAAAACATGCCAATTGTTGCTCATCTTTCAGATGAAAAATTAACCACTCTGTAGAGCACACTCATCATTAAAATTAATATTGCTTTTTAGGACATAATCCAGGTCATTGATGAAAATGAGAAATAGAATTGTGCCCAGTACGATTCTCCAAGAAATCCTTCTGTATGTGCGTGTGCTGTAATAAGACTATGAGTGTCCATTTATCATGTTGTTCTTCATTCTTAGTCTGCAATTGTTCCTGACCAGATAACTTACCAAGTTCATTTTTGAATGAGTTAAATGATCATTGTTGGGAGGCTCTTTCACAACCACAGCGCTGCGAAAATAATTCTTTCTAATATAAGCACATAAATTGCTGGGATCACACAGCAGGTCAGGCAGCATCCAAGGAGAGAGGAAATGAGTTAACATTTCAGATCTATGACCTTTCGCCAGAACTGATAATCTTTCTAATGTTTAGTTCCACCGAGACTTTTTAATCCTTCAGCGCATCAATTCTGCGTTCATCTGATCCACTTGTCTCAATATTTTCAAGTTCAAGAGCTTGTTCTCTGTCAATCTTCTGCTCTCCAAAGAAAATCAAGCTTAGTTCTGCAAGCCTCTCCTTGTCAAGTAAAGTTCAAGTCTTGGAATCCAATACAATACATAAATACAATTTTAAAGGTGCCCCAAAACTGCACAGAATATTTAAAATTCAGTCTCGTCAGCAAAGTTACTATAACTTTTGTTTGGTTTGTAGTCCATTCTATGACTAATCCTGGACTACACTGTAGATCTGCAAGTTAAAGTTGCACAAATAGGCACAATAGCTAACAAAAAAAGAGTAAACATTCAGAAAAAAGGCAAAGAATGAGTAAATGTGAAAAGAAAGATTGAATAAATTCAGTCTTTCCACAGAAACCTGCATTTTCACCCATCACGGCAAGTCCCAGTGAATCAAAAAAGCCTAAGGAATTTGACCTAAATGGTAGACTGGTAGGGTCTAAATAAGTGATAGATTGGTTTAAATTGCAACAAGTTCCAAAAAACAAAATGAGAAAAAAGTGAAATAAATAGGAATTATTGTTCCTGTAAAAGATTTTGAATCTCTGAAGACGACCATGAACACATTGCAAGGTACAAACACTAATGTACCTACCGCTGGTTAACAAAAGGAGTTGAAAATTCTGCAATCAGACGGAAGTTAGCAAAATAAGGCAGCAATCCCTGGCCCTAGAAGAGCAAGTTGAAAATTCAAGGTTTACCTGAAATTCATGTTAAGAACAAACACATCTCTAAAAGAGAACAGAACAAATACTGTAGCATGGTTGCCTAAAGGAGCATTCAGTAAACATTGTTATAGTCAATCATAAAAGAATTTGGTCCTTTATGCCCACAGAAAATTAAATAAAAAGCATGCTCTGGGGCATAAACAGGATGAAATGCAGATGGTACGTTGTGTAACTGTACTGATATGCCTTTGTCTGTAAGTATGAAGTTAATTTTTTTTGCAATAAGCAACACAGCTAATAAACTTAGATTCTTTTGATCAGTGAGTCAGTAACAAGAGCGCATAAACTGAACAATTTTAGCAGGCGAAAAAAAAGGGTTGGATTAGAAGAATTAATTAGAAGAAACAAAGGATTGTTAGAACTCAGAATGCCTATCCCGTAAACTGCTGTTTAAGCTAAGTGCGTAACAGTATTTAAAAGGGAATTGGATAATTTCTTGCAGAAAATGCTAACATAAGGGGTATGGGAAAGAGCAGGAAAATGGGGCGGACAGTATCAGCACCAACATGATGGGCCAAATGGTTGCCTTCTATGCTGTTATCAAAGTCTCTATGATCAATTAAGTTTGAATATTTGCAATTACACTAATTATCAACCAGGTTGGATTGAGAAGGCAGTCTGGTTGTCGGTCAGACAGATTTTACCTCTACAAGCAAAGACACTATTGTTTGAAAATACAGTTCTACATTTAACTTTATGCCATCAAATGTACTTGGGGGGAGAATTCAGATTACACGTGCTGTAAGATCTCTCCAGCCACATCAAACACATCTAATTCTTGGGTGTGAGACCTATTATTATTACAATTCTTAGCATTTTAAATGGGTCTTTTGTGGAGATCCTTGAAAGATATGGGAAGTTATCAAATTCTCGTGGCCATGTGACTAGGTTCTCTTGGCAATTGTACATGTTGAGTATACTACAACACATCAGCAGAAACAACAGCGTTTGCTTTTACAAAGAAAGTGGATACGACTTACCAAACCTACTGCATATGCTACACATGGAATTTTACTAACACTTTGACTGTTCAAAGACAAATACCAATAGTTCCAGGAGTTTGAGACCCCAACGCACAAATAAGACAATTACTTGAATTCTTTTTTAAAAGATTATTCTCTGGGTTAATGTTGGCTTCACAACCTCACAGCTCAGTAAAGAAACTAATCTTATAAATAGCAGTATATACTTCCACTGTATATGCCCCATTGTAGGAGTTCCTGTGAGGAACAAGCTCTCTATGTACAATAGAACTACCTGGATAATGGATTTTAATCTAAACATCAGGCTTTGTGGGTGTGAGATGTACACTGACCACTGTACACTTCTGTAATAGACTATACTGGAACTCAAGGATTGAGTTATAATAAATATAATGTTTTTCACATCCTCCAGATGTCTCAAAGCACTTCACAGAATATAAAGTGAATTGACTGCATATTTGTGGGAAAAATGCAGCAGCCGAATTGCTCACAGCAGTGCCCCACAAACAGTCGTGGATTGAGTAACCAAATTATTTTTTTCTTTAGGGATTATTTATCAGGCGTGTGGAGTAAGGAAATTTGCCCAAGGTTTCACCCTGCTGGGAATCGAACTCAGGTCTCTCATTTGTGAGGCAAGTGCTCTAACCACTGAGCTACAGGACTCCAGTTCATTGGGAACAGCTCAAAGACATACAGATTCATTGATTCAGGGAGCCACTGCAAGCTTGGAAGTCGTTAAATACTTTCTGCTTCCATCTGCTTCCTCTCCTCAAGGCACAGATTTGTACCGAGGTCTGGTTGCAGAGGAGCCAATCTCTCTCTCCTGTGCCTTTGAGGAGCATCCAATCCTGTGCGCACCTGACTATTTCCTGTCTAGCCCAGGAGCAGTTCAGTTAATTATAGAAACCCTGCTAAGAAAAGTCAAAAGTCTTGAATCATCTTATCACAATGTCAAGCTAGTTGCAGCCTTCTGCATTGAATTTGATTCCAAATCTACCTCCTGTAATTTGGACTGTATCGACAACAACTTGCACGTATATGGCACCCTTCATGCAAGGTACTGGCTCGGAAAGCTTACCAGCGGTGGGGTCTGACACTGAGCTGGAAAGGGAAGGGGAGGTAACCGAAAGCACAGTCCAAGAGGAAAGTCTTCAAGTGTGATTTGAAGACGGGTAAATAGGGGGCCAAGATGGAGGGGAGGGATTGAGGCAAGGAGCACCTCCTTTAACCATGAAATATAGGAAAATAATCTTCGGTTATATTGGTTCCTAAAAACGTGGTGTTAAAACTGATGTCAGTACAAAATGCAAGTCACATTTGAAGAGTGCACAGACATGTTCCCTGCCCTACTGGCAAACAGCAGAAGGCAGAGACCGAGGACTGCTTCAAATCACACGGGTCCCTGATGTGTTCTATTCAATAAGTCACTTTCAGTCTACCAGCTATCGCCAATTGGACAGTGAGACAGTCACATGTGCTGGGTGAACAGGGTAGGCAGGAGTGAAGAGGCATCTATCTTCCTGGAGAGAATTGGACATGGTGGAGATTGGAGTAACTGTGTGCCAGAAAGAATCTACTGAGAAACAAAGAAAATTATCAGAAAAACGGAGAGTAAGTAACCTAAGCAGCGACATTAAATTAATGAGAAAGAAAAATCAAGAACTGAAAGAAAAGAAGTGATAGAACTAACCTGGTCAATGAAAGAAACATAATTGAATGAAGAAGTGAAAATAAAAGTGAAAACTTAGCACAAGGAGAAGAATAAAGAGAAAGGGACGGACTGAGTCAGAAAGAAAGCAAATAGATTTTGTTAAAGAAAAATAAGAGCGAATAGGTTGAATGAATGCTGCCTTAGTATTCACTGAACCTATCCTTTATTATTTGTACAGCATTATGAAAATGGTGTGCTTCGGTTTACCATTGTTATGTATCCTCTTACTTCTCTTTGACTGTTTCAGCTCCTTTGAATCCAGAATGGAACACGCCTGGAAATCAAGCTTACATGTTCATTACCCCCATGAAACCAGTGATATTTTCAAATGTACACCTGTGGTGTGCACCGTGTGATTTAATTGGGATAATCAGCTTTTTTCAACGATTAACATATTAGTTACAACAATGCTCTACCACTGTAGCTATCAGGCCAGATGCATTATTGGTGGTTTGCGTTTTTAGAATCAGTAAAGTTTGAACTGAATGATTTGACACAACATTTGAAATGTAAACGTAAAACCTCATGTAAATAACTGAATACTTTAAGTGCTATGTTCTCATCAAAAGGACATAGTACTTGAAATATGCAGTAATTTCCATATGCAATACATTTACGATTGGACACATATCATAAGTTTGTAGGAGAAGTATTAAAAAGACCTTGTCAGGGCGAACTGGCAATTCCTTGCTGAACTATGGGTTAATTGTATTTTCTCCAGAATTTCTTAAGAGGCACTGAAAAATCACTGAACTATACCTTCGCAAACAGGATTTTGGCACATTCTCAAATACAAGATTAAGTTTTAAGATGATTTTCTGTAAAAAGAACTACAGCAAAACCATTTCAAAGACCAAGTTCAACAATTTGCCAAATCCTGGGCGCCCTTGAAAGCTACCTATAATCGAGTAAATATGGAACCGGGCGAAAGCTTTACCTACAATAGGGTGTACATTCCTCATCATTCACAGTTTTATGTATGCTCTTTCTACTGCTCTTTGCAACTTAAGAATGGCACTTGCTCATTGAACAGAGACACATTCAAGGCCGTATGTTAAGTATGTTATGTAATAATCTTACCAATTAGTTACACTGATAGAATGATTAAAAACATACTTACAGCATCAGGTATGCATAAACTCGTATGAAATGTACAATGGCAAAGAAAAAAGCCCATACAAAACCTAGGTCAAAAGCATTATATGCTAATACCACTACATACTGGTAAGTCCATATTATTATTAAGCAATGCAATTGCTCAGTATATATAAGCAATAGCATTGAACTACAGACAAGACAGGAACAAAAGCTCACCAGGTAAATTGATTCTCTCATCATTTTGTAAATTTGCATTTTCACATTATAGTTTGGACTAAGAAGGAGTGGGATTTCAGTATATAATTAAGCAAAAGTTAGGAGAAAGGACACAGTTAAGACAATTATAGCACCTAATACAGTTGCAACTACAACTAGCAGCAGCGAGGAGAAACAAAAACACATGCAGTTTAGGACTGTGAAAAAAGAAAGACAACATGTTAGATACCGGGCTGTAATACTGTATTATACAATCTTCAGACAATCCATAAAGACAAAAGATGCTGACCGTTCTGTGGATAGGTGTTGGAAAAAAAAATAGTCCACAAAGTCTACACTGGAAATGTGGTTTCTGAAATTTCATTTTCAATTAGGGTATTTATTACATTCAACCGAGCAAACCTTCCCGTGTCGAACCACATTCAGCTCACTAGGGAATACAAAGCACAGGAGTAGTTCATATCCCCCTTTCCTACCAGCCCATTAAAAGCAGTATTCAAGAAATTTACTTGCATCAATTGACACATTAGAAATTATTTAAACAAAATCTATTTCATGTTCAATGCCTACTTTTGTTTATAAGAGCCTTTGGACATCATCCTGAAATGAAAGGCGCTATACAAATGTAATTTGTTGTTGTAAATTTACCACTTATTGTGCAAACATTTGTCACAATAGATCAATGTTCACAGGTAGAAAGAAGTGTGTATTGCTCTAGAACAGAAAAATGGTGAGTTTCCCCAGTTCAATGAATCTTAGTGAGCTAAGGGCAGTTTGCACTGTTGGACAACCTTTTGTTTTTTAAATAGAAGCATCTGACATTTCAGTTTGACCACAACCTAAACAAGCTAACACAAACAGACACAAGCACACACTGCACAATGCAACACAGCAAATCCAGGCAGGAAGGCTCATTCCAATATTTTAAAAACTCTAACAGGATAGCTAGAGATCACTGCATGCTGAATTAAGACATCGCAATGAATAATTGCGATTCATTCATGCCAAATATTGCCAATAACTTGGTGTTATCAGTTTAGATTTGAATTAGAACAAGGAGCTGTGACACAGTTATGGAAATATTATTAAATGTGCTCCAAAATTACAAGCTGACAAATGAGACAGCATTTAGTTTAACCAATAGAATGGTTCATCTGGAATTTTTAATGGCGTGTTTGTTTTGGTGGTTGCTCTTGTATAAAAATGATTCTTCAATGAATTCGACAGAAGGTCATCGACTTGAAACAATACCTCACTTTCCTCTCTCCATAGATGCTGACTGATCTGCTGAGTGTTCCCAGCGATTTCTGAGTTTTGTGTGTGAGATCTTAAATGAAGCAGGCACAAAAAGCACCGTACACATAACAAGGCCATTAAAGTAGGGTAGCTTCATCAGTGAATGTACCACATGGTGCAGCAGACATTCAGACCAGGAAAAGTCAGCTATTTCACCTGAGTCAATCTTAGGGATATTAGGGATGATTGGGTTGGGGTGGAAAAAGGATAGGAGGAATACTATTCCTATTCAGTGATCTTTGCGAGTGTGTACAGTTGAGCAGTTAGTGAGGACAAGGTGAGCCTTGTCTCTGATGATCGCTACAGTTGAATGGCCTACCTGAACTGAATGTCCAGTATTACATATATAGAATGGGCACTGATGTGAAGTACTGGAATGTATCATCAACTGTGGAATTATACTTCAACGCAAGTCACCATCAAAGGTAGGACAAAAGGAGCAAAACAGTGTGTATATGTGCGTGTGGGGGGAGAGAGGCACTCAAACGGGACTTTTAAAACATCAAGGGAGGGAAGGACAGAAAGTATACTTGGGTTCAATATAATTCGACGACCACAGTAGTTTATTTAAGACGCTGCTGGCAGGAAACTGGAACGCCAGGCCGAGCCAATAATGAAGACACAATGCAAAGGGGTGCAAACAACAAGCGCAAACAGCTGACGCAAGAAAAAGAGGAAGAAGAAAGTAAATTGATATCCCACTTATAAATTGGTGAATATTCAGCAATACATGCAAAAATACCAAATGAGAAAAATCAGTTAACCCAGTGATGCAAATCTCCCAGATCTTTGGACCAAGGCTCAGCAGCCAAAGAAAATCCTACATCCACAGTGACTTCTACCATGCGAGGTGTTAAGCGGTTAGAATATTAAACGGCCAAATCCATCCAGTTCTGTAAATTGTCTCAACTACCGTAAAAGATGCAGTATTTAATTAAGACAGTAATTTTTAAAATCAAGTGTACCGGCATTATTATTAATGAGGAAATTGAGGAAATATTGTAGATTTTGACCTGAATACATAAGTGTGTATCTTCAAAGTTATTGCCAAAGTGGCATTATGCCCAGGGCTCTCCCCTCAGCCTTTTCCACTGATGGCAAGGGTTGAATCTTGGTGCCAATCCTTGTTCTAAACTGTTCGTAATATCATGCACCAATCAACACACACAATGAAAAATGGGTCAATGAAAAGTTCAAAGCTCTGACCTTCCCAAACATTTAGTAAGGAATTGATTTACACTCTTTTTTTAAAAAAAATTTTTTTTTAGTGGTCACAGCTTTGCTAAATTTAGAACCACAGAAATTTACAGCACAGGTGGCAGCCATTCGGCCCATTGTGTCTGTGACGGCTCTTGGAAAGAGCGATCCATTTAATCCCATTCACCTGCTTTCCCCCCNTACTCCTGCAGATTATTCCTTTCTAGATTTCGATTGAAAGGCGATATGGATTCTACCTTGACCAACTTTATTGCACTAAAGTATTCCATATCCTAACAACTATCTGCATAAAAGAAAATTTCTCCTAATCTTCCCTTTGCTCCCTTGCTAACTATCTTAAACTGATGCTCTGTATTGTAAAACTTAATTTGTGACACTTTAAGATGGCAATTAATATAAATCTGAAACATCAGAAAGTGTTTGACTTTTCAGTGTGGTTTCCAGTCAAATTATCACAATTTCACATACTGTCACTGGCATAATTTGAAAGAGAGTATATTGGCATTCAAATTTACCTGCCTCATCGCTGAAGTTTCAGCAGATTTTCATTGATGTTATTAAAAAGCCGGTCACATTCTCAGCTGTTTAGTAACATCAAAGAATATATCTAATATTGGAGATCTCTCCTCGGTGATTGCTAATTGTTTTAATACTGGATAAGGTATGGCTTCACTTCCAGCACTATAAGCAGTGCTTGGGTCAATGATTTCTGTTAATAGAATCATAAAAGGTGCCCACTTGATAAGGCAAGTTTCAATTCCATTAGAGGAATACGTCACCATGATTTGTCATTTTGTGCACTCAATTCTCCTGCAAGTGCTCATTCTCCACAACAATCAGTAATTTGCTTCATTAATTTGAACTTAGAAACTGCTGAGGAAGTCTGTTGGCTGAAGCACAAGTTCTTTGCTGTTTCCCCTTGGTCCAAGGTTTCCCATCTTGCCCACAGTTACTGCTATTGTCTAATATGGCACTCACCAGTACATAGTAGTAAGCACACAACGCTGTCAAATGGTGGATTACAAAGTATTTGTCTCCAATTGCTTTCCAATACCACAAAATGAGTAGCAAATCTGGAAAAGCAGAACAAAACCAAGAACAATTAAAGGAAATAATGTGTAGAGCAGAGGAGTTTCTCTTTATTCTTTAAATAGTACGGTTTTCACAACAATCAAACTGAATTATCCACATACTATCAACTGAGCAATTACAAAACTTCACCGCTTTAAATTTAAAAAAATTAAGATAGCATTTCATATTATGGTAATGGCATCACATTGAAGGACTTTAATGTGCAACAATATTAATTTTCCCCCTCTATTCCAGAGAGCTGTCCATTGGGTGCGCAAGTTTCTATTCTTCACACGTGAACCTAACAGCTATTCACTGAGAGAACATGACAGCAGGGTTTTACAGGGTTAAATGTTGCTGCATTTATACCATTTAGACTGGACATTGAAATCTTTAATAGTATTTTTTTTGTGATAAAAACAAAATTTGAGCTATAACCTAAGCACATGATTGCCCTCCTAAGGTTATAAAGCCACAATAGGCACCAGCTTCTCCACATAAGCTAGGAAAGCCTGATGATTTCTTGGGATACTTCACTTCCAACTTTTTAAGCAGACAACAACAGCAGACAGGATCATTCCTTCCATACAGAACACTAACTAACAAAAGGGCTCAATTTTTTTTAATCTCAACTCATTCAGTTGAAGGCCACTCACAAGAACACTTGTTTCAACAACTTGCAAGCAAAAAAATTGTTGGAAATGGGACAAATAGAATGTTCCCTATACAAGGAACTGAAAGCAATACTCAAGATAACAATCCAATCAAACATTGCCCTAGAGACAACTCTTAATATTTAACATTGCAATTTCACAGAAGCATCCACTACAAGAATAATAATCCTTGCAATTGCCCATCACCTCAGGAAGCAATTAGTTTTTCGGGGCTTACTGTCAAGTGTAGTGACTGTGTATTTTGTAGACAACTCCGAAGCATTCAAGGTTTGCATTTTGCAAGTTGCAAGGGAGAATGGCACAATTCAGCCACAGGGTTTGCATAACCAAAACCGCTTGACTATTTATAACTGGCTATTTAAAGGGAATTGTAATAAAGCAAGACTAAAGAGTGCCTGTTCTCTATCCCCCTCCAATTATAATTCTCCACTTTTGCAAGAAATACCATGAAGCAGCCTGGACAAGAACAGACAAACTTCACTACAATAATGACAGGTCACCAAAGCCTGAAACCCCCATCCATCTACAAACTAGTCAAATTCTAACATTGCTGGGTTTTGGGGAAACTAAACACTCTGCAGTCAAATAAGAAAAAACAAAAAGAGATACTCACCTGAAATGAGGTAGCCTGCAGTTAGACCAACATTTAATTTCACCAAGGAAGGGTCGCCCCTGTAACGAAGAGAAACGGTAGTTTCAATTTGTATAGTGATTTCGTATTTTGTAGAACACGGCAGCCAATTTCACACAACAATAGTCTTCAGATAGCCAATAAAGTGGATCGCCTGCCACGGTAATCAGGCAAGATTCCAGTCGTTCTATCAGTGTGCTTTCCTTTAAAAAACGAGGCTATCTTGTGGAACACTTACATCTTTAGGTCGTCAGAAATAATTACCCCAAAACCTTGAGAAACCAGGCTAAATGGTAACTACAGAATAGTGAGGTTATGTTTCTTACCAGACAGGGTCTGCATTGACAGCATCATCAACCCACAGTAAGTACAGACACAATATTCCAACCACTAGAGCATGGAATGTGGACACTATCCTGAGAAGCAAAGATGAAAAGAAAAGCAGCAGGTTGTCACCAGCATATTCTGCTCCACAACACATTCAAAAGATAACACGTACCCCGTGCTTACATTTATAAATCCAATGCCATGCAATGTAAAATAGTGCTCATTCCCCTCAGCAAAATATACTGAATGGAATGTAGATTCACTTAATTCTGATGCCATGTTGGAAATATTTTTATTTCAAGAACAGTAACAGAAATCTCCCCCCAGAGTAGCTGAAACATAGAGAGCAGCCAAATCCTAGGCTTTTATTCTTCATCTGTATTGAGTTAGTGTTTCACCCGTGTTGAGAGCCGCCACGTGGGCATTGTACGAGAACTAGATTAGGCTCGGCTGTGCTTTTCTTGGCCTGCCAACACTCAGTTTTTAATCTCATTCATGAATAATGGACACTTCTGCAGTAAGTAGTCGTGAAACTGTATCCTCAGCAGAAGCAGGGCAGGGGGAAGAAATAATGGAAAAAAANCACTCGACCACAAAATATGTCCTTGCAAGCAAAATGCTTACTACCAAGAGTAACACAACTCAGTAAATAAGATCAGTGCTTGTGAGGAGTAAGGCACACTAACATACTGACTCTACCAGAGAAGCAGAGTTCAACTTTCATTTCTAAACAGTGCCAGAAAATAATACATCACCACTGTCTCTGTTTCTAGTTTACGCATAAACTTTTGTAAACTTTATCTTATGCATTCCAAAACTTCAACAAGCTACGCTGTTTAGAAACAACGAGTCTCAGTTTACACACTGTTAATTCTAAAGTATTTGGTTTTGTTTATGTTGCATAGTTTGACCAAATATGCAGAAGTTCTTTGAACTGCTACATTCCCAACAGTTTCTTCACTGCTTCTTAAACCTCAAGAATATTTTCTAAACAATTTTGCTCAAATCAAAACAAACTTGCTTTTTATATCATGTTCACAGTGGATACTAGGCTTTGTATGTTTCCTCACAGTAAGAAAGTAAATTATTAAGATCTTATTTGGCCTTCATTATAACCTGAGCAGAATACTGAACTAGTGTCTGTAAAGTCTTCAGACGTGCAAACTTTCAAGAGGCACTCATAACCCTCCCCTGTTGTGGGCTAAGAGGCCGAAGATCAAGTGAGTGACCTTACAGATAATCTGCGAAGAGAACAGTCAAATAGAATAAGAATAATAATCCTTGCATTTGATATAGTGCCGGTTTTGATTGTAAACTAATAGCCACAACTCTAGGCAGTATTTGCCAAATATATTTCCATTAAAATCTGCCCGGCTACTTCTGCGATTGACCCTAGAGCGTACCTGGAATTCCACTCAGTCTTCTGAAGGTCAGTTAATGTCCTGAAGCCCTTGCAGCACAACATAGAAATCCTTGCACTTAAAAAATGGAACAGACCTTGAAAGACGATGAAACTGAACACCATGACGAAAGGCCATCCAAGTGAAGCCATGGCAACGGGGCCTCTGGAAGATAAAACCTGGTAAGAAAACAGATCAATAAAAATGAGACGACCATTTGTTCAAAACAGGACTAAATGACTCTTTAGTTCACATTTATTTTTGCCGTTCAAAAGTCAAAGCCAGACTAAATGAGTCACCTCACATTTTCACTTTGCATCAAATCTACTAAGTTTTACTCGTTTTTCGTGGATCTCAAGTAAAACTCTTGCAACCAGAGCTTTCCTTAATACGTTCTTATACAATCCTTCCTCAACCTCTGATGTCTCTATTCCTCCAACCAATTCTGCTCAGAATCTCATCAGAATCTTTGGGACATATGTCATGCGACCACCAGGAAGGTGGAAGGCAAACTAGACATTCCTTGTTTTTTTTTCGACTAGCATTTCTTGTGTTCTTACCTCAACACTCTTTCTTCTTCCTAATTATTGCTATCCAAACAAAGTCCAAAGCTTTGAAGCCTCAGAAAGAGAAAGGAAGGGAACTTGTGACAACTCTACTACTAAGATAAACTTATGTATTTGTAGTTCGTCCACTAAATTTTACAATTTTATGATCTGTATCCATACATTTTAGAGGAGAACATTCCTACATTCCAAACTTCCCAAACTCCCAATGCACAATTCTCCCGAGGGACAAGAAAAATAGTTAGCTACTACTTTTAAACTTGGTGTTTTCAGGATGTGTTTGCAGGTAGCACTGTCCTATTGTGAAACAGAACACATTATGTGGTTACTTAGAAACTGCCCAAACAAAAACTGAACGCAACTTTAGTACACTATAACTATAGCTTCACTTTATTAACATTTAATAGCTTGCGTAATCAGAACAGGTTTTGCCTTGTGAAAAGGTGTTTGAAGATGTAATAATGTGTAGAGCAAAATAGATTATCCATTCCCAATATATGACTTTTTTGACATATATGATCTAATATTCTTTTTTCACACAATTCATTGCAACTCACCACACAACAAAGTAAGTATACAGTGTATAATGCTTCAAAAATGTCCTACCGAACGCAATTTCCAAAAGCAAGACTGAAGAGATAGCCAACAAATCCACACTTCATTTTACTAATGCAGCCACAAAATTCTCAGGGTATTTAAAAACACCAGCAAGAACTTGTCTATATTTTAGGATTGATAGAACCAATACATTAAGATTGCTGGCTAGCAAAACCTGCTGCGCGAATTCATTCACTTCAATCAGAATGCATCTTAATTTAAGGAAAGATTCCTGAAGTTATACTGCACACAGCGTAGGAAGTACCTGCTCCCTAATTCCCTACTGCAAGACTTATACACCCAAAGAAATTTCAGATAACCCAATTCTATTTCACGAGCATCATTTTATTGGCTAATGAACTCCGTCAGTGATTCATAAGTTTAAGTTTTACAAAGCACAGAAGCATGCCAACTGTGGAACGTCCGGATAAAGTTTCCAAAGTTAAGTTGCTGTAAAAACTTTCTAGTTACTTTGTAAAAATTGTAAATCCTGTGCCATAAAACGTGCAAACAGGAAAAAAAGAAAGTTGAAATATATTCTGGCTTCGGGCCAGCCTGGCATGGAGACACAGTCTCGCTCCCCCTCAGCTCTGCTGCCTGCAGGCACTTGAGACCCACCTCACTTTAGCCTGTAAAAGATTAGTCTAAAAAAAGTTAAAGATTGTGGAAAATTCTTGAATTCAGTCCTGAAAAAAAAACGGCTTCTTATTCAGGACCGAATTTTTAAAAAAATCCCAAATTCTGCACAGCCTTGAATTCTAAGACAAAATTTTCTTGCAGGTTGAGTCCAAATAGAAACTTTGTCTTGCTGTACACAAGCGAGGAATGATTGGCAAGAGAGAGTTTGTGTTTGGCAGTCAGCTGAAGGATGACAATAGATGATAATACTCTATCTTCCCAGTCAGACATACTTGCTTCATTTCAGTAAGATCTGGGGGAGGGAGGAGAAGAGATTTCATTCTCTCTTTAAAAATAAGAGGCAATAATTTACATTGTGTGTAAAAAAAATTGAGATTTCAAAGCTTACCTACAGAAGTTATCAAATATACAACTGTGCAATATACTGCACTAAAAACATCCTCGATCTGACACAGTCCTTTTTGGGTAACAAACACAAGACAATTCTCATCTTATTACCTACTAGCAAATGCACAAAAGCCAGATCTTCACCGGGGTTTGGACATGAAGGATTTAAAGAGACAGAAATTATTCTGTATACATAGAAAACTGAAAGTTGATTTAGCAGGACCATTTATTTGCAAGCAATTAGGAAGTTAGCAGTGTGGCAAGTCATTGTTTATTTAACTGAGTTAGATCTAACATCCTGTGTTATGGTGTTTGTTATTATTTATTTTATTGGCCTGTTGGAATTCAGAAACACAAACTGCACTCTTCTCTCATATCAAGGACCCAAACTTCTATCGAAGAGCAATACAATTCTCGGAAAATAAAATGTTCCTGTATGAAAGTAAACAAATAAAACTTACATATGGGATTTTAAAATCAAGAAAACGTGGCTTGAAAAGTTTAAGAACTTTCCACCACCCATTGATTTCTGCCAAAATACAACTGTACAAGAATTATATTTCTAACCAAGCTTCTGAAATCACTGAAAAAATAAAGCCATGGTCATTATTCATTTCACTTTATCAACACGCTTGTTGTAGTAGCTGCTGTACCAAACACCCACTTAATGTTATTTTACAGCCGGAGAACCCACTGTGGGTCTCAGTGGAATCAGCACAATCAAACCTACATTATATTGGTTCCTACTGAGATTCCCCACATTATTTTTACACGACTACATTCCCCAAAGCAATACATCTCTTATCACCACTTTGTTATGCATTTTGAAGTATCTGTACTGTGGAGTCAAGAACAAGAATGAATATTATTTTTAAGTCAATAGTTTAATACACCAGTTACAAAACAGGAAATACCTGACATTACCTGAACTGACACCATACGAAAGGCAGTTCTAACGAATAAGCTGTCTACTAAGATGAAGCATCAACCATTTTTTTTATTCCATAGCTTCCCCTGTCCACAAAGATAAGACAAAGATCCATGGAGTTCGGTAATGCAGGGATGCAATTATTTCCTTTCCTAAGTCTTCTGAATTTTATAAGGTTATAATAGGTCTGATAGGTAACAGCCGTACGATGGCAGCAGGACTCTTAACAGTGTGGAAATTTGAAACAGACCTTCAATAAAATATTAAATAACAACGGCACCATCCTAATATAGAGATAACAAAGAGGTGTCAGTTATCATCAAATAGTCTCTTACCTGCACACCAGGGATTCCTAAAGAAAGGTATTTAGTAGAACATGCTGTGGATATTAAAAGCTGATGAATTCTCTCAAGGGAAATTATTTTCAATGTAAAATACCTCAGCCTTTACATTTCAGCAGGCACTGCTGGTGAAACCCTCCGAGCTATGGAAAGTAAAATTAACCAAATTAAGATATCAACATTACTTTCTGCACAAGTTTATTTAGCTATCTAATAATAACCTTCTGCTTTAAATCGCCATAAAGAATGTAAAATGTTGCAGCTATTCTCATCGAGACAAGGTGATGTTTGCAGGGCAGACTTTCCCGAAAGGGAATTACTGACTTCCTGAGATGCACTTCCTGCAATCTCGTGAGTCAAATTGGGTCACTTGCTTATCCTGCCAGGAAAATCCATCTCACGTAAAAAAAAAACACTTCTCAGTTGTTTGGGCTGGTGTTCGAATATCATAGAGGAGCCACTCTCACTTAAAAACTAAAGCGTTCCATTTTTCAAACAGAGTCTTTGTATCTTCACATCCATCCATTCTCTGGCACCTCTTTATCTCCCTGACTTTCTCCTACCCTACTCCTCCGCTCGCCTCCTCCGCTCAGCTAGCTTGTATTCCCTCTGGAACCATTGATTGTTATACTCAAACAGACCAGTGGGCACTAATGTCGAGATGCTTCGTCGAGACAAACTGAAACAAATAGGACAAAACACTCCAACTGTAGCATAACCAAGGTCTTGTACAAGTTGAACACCATCTCCTGGTTCACAACAGTGAACAACAAAGATACTGGCCGATACCCAATGCCACCAAACACTGTACAGTGGAGATGTTCTTGAATCTTTTTCCAGCTGCAATTTACCGAACAAAAGCTTTTCTTTGAAATCCTACCTTTGAAGTAGTTCTTCAAAGAATTTACAGAAAGCAAGCTTCAAAACTGAGGGTGCGTCTAAGAACACATTCTGTGTGCACCAAAATGTTACGTTAATAGAGTAAATCTAGACCCAAGTGGATTTTTCTCCCCACACGTTTGCTAAAATAGAGAAGTACTTTTTTGTACAATGTTTTCCCTACTGGATGGCAGCAACAGATAGATGATAATGGAGTGGAGAGGGCAGGGGACATGCAAGGGGAGGGAGTTTTAAGACGTCTTGAAGATTTGATGAGGCGCTATGGGTCATCTTGAAGACGTGATATCAAAGGCAAGGATTATTATTATTATATGTGGCTCGGCACTGGGACAATTGGAGTGAAACCAAAAATGTACAGGGCCATAGAAGTGAATCAGGAAGGAGAAATGATGGAGGATGGAGCAGACAACAGTGCCAAAAGTACAAAGGGTTACTGGTTACAGACAAAGCAAACATTGTTTGTGACTTTGACCAGGGCTGCCTCAGTCCTGTGGGCAGGGCGGTTGCAGATTGGAGATACTCATACAGGGAATGAATCAGGAAATAAAGAATAGAGATGGGAAGTGACAACTGGTTCCAGCACCTTGGAGAGGAAGGGCATATTGGAGATGGAGCGAGAGTTAGAGATAGCTGGGGTCAGTTAAATTTGTAATTCTGTATTCTCCATTAAACCCACATTGCACCTCGGATACCTCGTTTTTAATAATAATAATAATCCTGGCATTTTGATATAGCGCCTTATCACGTCTTCTAGATGTCTCAAAGCGCTTCACAGAATATACTGTAAAGTGAATTGACTGTATATTTTGTGGGTGAAACGG